CGGCGGTCAAAAAGCCCCCCCCCCCCCACAAGTGCGCCAAGCCACCAAAACGACACCTGTATGTGTGTCCGTTCATTTGGAAATCATTTGGACGAGCTTATGCTTAATAGTTTCGGCTCATAATAGGAATGCGCGACGCTCAGCCTTGGTTTTGGTAGCAGCTGTTGCAGCAAGTATTACCAGTTTAATCACACACAGGTCACGGTGTTGGGTTTTGTCATAGAGAGGGGGCTCATCAACGGCAAGTGCGCGCTGCTGGCCCAATGAGAAAATAGTAAGCATACACTCGGCGTAAGCATACACACGGCGTAAGCATACACTCGGCGTAAGCATACACTCGGCGTAAGCGTACACTCGGCGTAAATATACAGGATTAATAAAAGAGGTTGAAAATTTACAATTTTGCTTTTTTTTTTTTTATTTATTTATTTTTTAAACTGATCCTACATTACAGGAACGCTCCCTTCCTTTAAAAAAAAACAAAAACCCTCTAGTTTTGGAACCACTTCAATCCTCGATATCCCTATTTTCCCTTGTTATCCCATGGTTAGCGTATTGGTGTAGCGTTATTCCCCATGCCATATAATATACATGTGTAGCGACAACGCTACTCCATTAGAGTGTGTGTTTTTTTTTTTTTTTTTTTTCTTTTTTTTTTTTTTAATAAAACTGTTTATTTTTTGTTTGTGATTTTTTTTTTTTTTTTGTTTTTTTGGTTTTTTTTTTTTTTGTTTTTTTTTTTTTTTGCGTCAGTAATTCACGTCACACATTCGTTTTTAGACGGCTTATTTTATGAGATTCGCAATTTTAATATTATTGATATTGAACGAATGAGAGTTTGTAATAAAACTCAGAAAAAAACAAAGAATAATAACAATGCGGTCAATAATCAAAGATTACTCCCTGCTTTAGTTTTAAGTTAACGACATCAGTGATTAGAAACATTATCAGATATGAGTGGACTTGGCAAAGCTGAAGGCTGAAGTTACCAGACTTCTTATAACGTTACCCTCGCACACAGATAGCGAAGGGGGTACCAGCCCCGGGCGCAAAACCAGGAGGCGCCAAAGCCTTCTTCAGATAGGATCTTAATAGTGAACTACCCGATAACATCACGTGTATCTCACAAAGACAAGCAGGGGGCGCCAAAATTGTCTTTTTTTTTTTTTTACTGATCTATATTGTTGAGGGGGGCGGCATTTTCAGGCTTCACCCCGGACTTTTCAAATCCTTGGCACGGCCCTGCATACAAACACACACACACACACACATACACAGATACTCACACCCGCTCCCAAAACTAATTCATCAAGTACTCCTGTCCAAAGAGTACATTATACAGCAATACTACACCCTACTTTCTCAGCTCCCATTGGCCAACGCCCACCAATCAATAGGGATAAGCTTTCATCCAGTCTTCTTTGTGAGAAAAGATTGTTTACATAACAATCTCAGTTTTCATTCAGGCAATAGTCATTGTTGACACGAATGGGTACGTTGATTGGTCCGGTGTATTCAATTGTTTTAATAGTTGTAGGCCTACACAGGTCCATTGCACGCGAAAAAAAGTGTGTGTGGGGGGGGGGGGACTCACCCCAGTGAGGAAAAATAGGGTTGGGGGTGCCAAAATCTTCTTTAGATAGGACCTTAATAGTGAATGAAAGAATACAATCCAATGTACCGTACTTCAAATAGACGAGGAGCACCATAATCGTTGGCTTTTTTTTTTTGTTGGTTTTTTTAAACTGCGTGGCACATTTTTTTCTTTGTATAGAGGGACGAACATTTCAGGCCCGGCATGGCCCCTGGCCAACATGTCATTTAATTACGTTCTTCCTCCATAACAAAATCCCAGGCCTTGTGATTTGGTCCAGCCGATAGCACATCGTCATCTTCTTGAGACGGGGGTATGCCAAAAAACACATCTTTTTTTTTTTCCTTAATGATGTCTCAGCCGAGTCACCGCGCGCCAAATGCACCCCCCC